ATTTGACACTCTCCCTCCCTCCTTTTCTGTCTCTCCCTCCCTCTCCCTTTCTTCCCTTCCTCTGTCTCTCCCACCCTCCCTCCTACCTTCCTTCCTCCATTCCTTCCTGTCTTTTCTCCCTTCCTCTCTCCCTCTCTCCCTCCCATCCGCTGTTTCTCCTTCCTTCCCTCCTTGCCTTTGTGTGTTTTCATTCTTCGACAATTTCATATCTTACAAAATTTTCCCCCTGCCCTGCATCCAGGAAGAAGCTTTAAAAGGGTGTTTGTTTTGTGTATGTGTGTGCACTTAGGTGTGTCCATGCAAACATGCATAGGTAGCACTGTGGGCATGTGCATGCTGTGGCACATGTATGCAGGTCAGAAGATGACCTCAGGTGCTGGTTTTCATCCCTCACTGCCTCTGAAGCAGGATCTCGTTTGCTGATGCTGCACCAGCAGCTAGCAGGCTCACAAGCTTTCCGGTCTCCAGCTCCCAGCTTGCTGTGAGAGCATCAGGTTGCAGGATGTTCTGCTGTGTCCAACATTTAGGCATGCTCTAATGCAGTGGTTCCCAACCTTCCTAGCACTGAGACCCTTTAATACAGTTGCTCATGTTGTGGTGACCCCCAGCAGTAAAATTATTTTGTCGCTACTTCATAATTACAATTTCGTTACTGTTATGAGTCATAATGTAAATATCTATATTTTTCTGGTAGTCTTAAATACCAGACCAAATGGCCCCTAACACCACAGCCCCATCTGGGATTGGGAAAGAAGCCACTTCCTGAAGCATGCCTGCTGCTTCACCTGTGTTCACGCTCAGGCATTCCTTAGGAGCTGTGCAACCATCTGAAGGTCATGGTGAAGCTGCTTAGCATTCTCCACGTTTGGTGACACCCCCACCCCCACCCCCGCCCAGCTCCCAGTGGTAATACCCAACTTAAACCATCAGAAACTCATTTTCCAATAACCTCCACCCTTCATTATCAAAACCAAATGGAACTTTCACACATGGTAGGTGGGAATGTCGATTAGGTCTGTCACTATGGAGAACAGGAGGAGGCCTCCTCAAAAACCTAAAAAACAAAACTGTGGATGATCCCACGGTCTCAGTGCTGGGTATACAGCCAAAGAAAACAAGGTCAGCATGTCCAAGAGATAGCTTTGCTACCGAAAATGGGGAGTCAGCCTAGATGCCTGTCCATGGAGGAATGGCAAAAGGAAGTGTGGTATAAATACACTATGGAGTATTACTTAGTCGTAAAGAAGAACCAAGTTCTGTGGCTTGTAGCAAAATGTATGGAGTTGGGGGAGACCCCACATTAAGTTAAATAACCCAGACATAGAAACACAAGTATCTGCACTTTGCCTCAAATGTGGGAACCCACAAAGAAACATGACTTGGAGGCAGAACAGTAGTTATGAAGGATTGCTGGGTTTGGGTGTGGTCTGTGCCTGACATTATGTGGTGTCATGATTGGTATATGAACTGCCTCCCACAGGCTTGTGTGCTCAATGCTGGGTCACCAGCTGAGGGAGCTAGTTCAGAGGTGGACCTTGCTAGAGGAAGTAGGCCACTGCAGGTGGGCCCTTGTTCCCGCCCCTTCCTGGCCCTCTGTTTGCTTCCAGTCTACCATGAAGTAAACAGTTCCCCTTCACCACACTCTCCTGCCACCGTGTACTGCCAAGTGCATGGGCCAAGTGACTAGTCTGAACCTTCTGAAACGTGAGCCAAGACAAATCTGTTTTCCTAAGTTCTTCGTGTCAGGTAATTTAGTCCTAGCTATGTGACGGTAACAAACACAGCTCGCAGGAAAATACCACACTGGAGCCTGGGGTGTGGCTTAGGTGGGACAGGACTAACGTGGCATTCCAGAAGCACTGGGTTCCGTCTCCACTACCACCTAAAACTGGGCAGAATGATGCATACCTGTGATCCCAGCACTCAGGAGGAGGGAACAGAAGGATCACCCTTGGCCATGTAAACAGTTCAAGGCCAACCTGAGTTACATGCACACTGTCTCAAAAAAAAAAAAAAATCCACTGAATCCCACTAATACATGCAATTAATTCTTGTCTAAAAGTGGTTAAGATAAGGCTGGAGAGAAGGTTTCAGAGGTAAGAACACTGGTGCTCTTCCAGAGGACGTGGGTTCAACTCCCAGCATATACATGGTGGCTCACAATCCTCTGTAACCCCAGTTCCAGGGGATCCAGTGCTCTCACCTCCTCAGGCATTAGGCACATGTGTTACAGACATACACGCAGGCAATATATCCATACACATCAAATAAAAATAAAATAATGTTTTTAAAAAGTGAGTAAGATATAAAGAAGTTAGAAGGAAGGAGGTAGTGCAGGGGCAGGTCTGTGTGTATGTGTGTGGTGTATGTACAGAGTGTGGGACTGTTTGCAGACCCACGCACACACCAGGCCAGAGGAGGATATTGGGGACCCTGCTCTGTTACTCTCACCCTATTCTCTTGATTCAGGATCTCTCCCTGAGCCTTCCGAGAGGCCAGCAGCCAGCAAGCCCCACCAATCCTCGTTTCTCCACCTCCTGCAGCACTGGGGTTACAGGTACACATGCACACATTGCCATATCTTGCTTCTGATGTACTAGGGATTTGAACTCAGGTCCCCATGCTTATACGGCAAGCCTTCTTACTCGCTAAGCCATCTTCCCGGCCCAGGAGTGGACCTTAGCCCTTGTTTTCAGGAGCCTGGAAGGTACAGCACTTGATGTGCTATTTCCTCTATTAATAAGGACATTTGCAATTATCCAAAGCGAGCAAGGCTCCTTCCATGGACTGCCAGCATTAGACCCCTGAGAGGAGCCCCTGAAACACTTCTCGGTCTTCCTGATGAGCTGAAATGTCTTCAAGTGTCCTTTGCCTCTCATCTACCCTTTTCTGAGAGTGACAATTATCATCTCCCTGAGTGTCATGAGGCTAAGGCATCAGAAATTGAATGCCCGAGAGGTTAAGAGCACAGCTGTGGTTACTAGGCACTAAGAAGGAACAAGAAGTGAGATTTGGCTTACACACACACACACACACACACACACACACACACACACACACACACACACACACCTCAGTCCTGTGAGGGAAACGCAGGGAGAGGAAGCCAGAGACTCCACGGACCACAACCCTCAGTGTGACCAAGATGCTGCCATGTGGGCAGCGCCGCTTCTGGTGTCCAGCAGGGCCCACTGCTCCTACCTGATGGCCTGGCCTCGATGACGTAGCCTGTAGTAGGAGTGTTCCCAGCATGTCCCTCTGTCCACTGCAGGCTCAGCTCGGAGGCAGATTTGGTGACCAGGACATTTCGTGGAGAGCCTGGGGACCCTGTGGGATAAAAAGAGCAGATTGAGTGGACATTGGCCTTGAGGGGACTAGTGGTCCCTCATTGGGACAGAAGTGTTGAATTCATTTGTATTAAGATTTTTTTATTAATGATTTTTTACATTTTAATTTATTTATGGTATGTCTCTCTCTCTCTCTCTCTCTCTCTCTCTCTCTCTCTCTCTCTCTCTCTCTCTCTCTCTCTGTGTGTGTGTGTGTGTGTGTAGGTGCCTGCAGAGGACAGAAGAGGGCATCAGATCCCTTAGATCAGCGGTTCTCAACCTGTGGGTTGCAACCTGTTGTAGAATATTATTTTAAGATGTGTTACATTCATTTATGTTGTGGAATATTTGTTTAATGATGCAAAGATGTGTTGCATTCTTTTATGTTGCATTTGTTTAATTCTGCAAAGTTGTGTTACTTTGCCTGTCTAAAACACCTGATTAGTCAAATAAAGAGCTGAATGGCCAGTAGCAAGGCAGGATAGAGGATAGGTCGGGCTGGTAGGCAGAGAATAAGTAGAAGGAGAAGAAGGGAAAAGGAGGGAGAAAAGGAAAAGGAGAGGAAGACACCATGGGCCAGCCACCCAGCCACACAGCCAGCGATGGAGAAAGAAGTAAAGAAAGATATACAGAATAGAGAAAGGTAAAAGCTCAGAGGCAAAAGGATAATTTAAGTTAAGAAAAGCTGGCTAGAAATAAGCCAAGCTAAGGTGGGGCATTCATAAGTAAGAATAAGCCTCCATGTATATTTTTTGGTGGGGGGAGTTGGGTGGCGGGTCCCCAAAGAGCAAAGAGTAAGAAAAAAAACCAAAAAATTTGCAGTCACATATCAGATTTGGGGTCACATATCAGAAATCCTGCATATCAGATATTTACATTATGATTCATAACAGTAGCAAAATTACAGTAATGAAGTAGCAACAAAAACAATTTTATGGTTGGGGGGCACTACAACATGAGAAACTGTATTAAGGATCACAGCATCAGGAAGGTTGAGAACCTCTGTCTTAGATCAGAGTTACAGATGGTTGGTTGTGAGTCACCCTCATGGACACTGGGAATGGACTTGGAACGTCTACAAGGGCAGCAAGTGCTCTCAACCACTGAGCTATCTCTCCAGCCCTAGACTGGTTTTGAGGCAGGGTCTTGGTACACAGCCAAGGTTAGCTTGTGACCTTCCCATCTTCTGAGTGCTGGGATACAGGCACACGTCACCCTGTCTGACTCTGGTCCAGGTTCCCTTCCCTCATTTCAATGTGGGTTTGGTACGAGGCAGGAAGAGGTCAGTGCGCACTGAGAATGTAGGACCCAGAGGGACTGATTTGGAAAGGCCAGTTACATCACTGTTGTGACTAAGAGCAATTACAAGATGTTTGGGAAGATGTTGAGAGCAGTTAGCATTGTCTGCCTGCAAGATCTCAAAGTGTTTATCTCTTTTGTGCTTACGTTTAGCTCTGGTTTTTACAATCTTGATAAGATAAATGCATGTTTTGAATGATGCACGCGTAGGACACAGGAATTCAAGAGACATGTTGGTGAATCTTAGAACACCGTGTACACACACATATGCCGATGTATGTTGGCACAAAGAAGAAAGCTTCAAGCCCTCCAGTGAACTCCGAAGTTGACTCATGAGAAATGACTTAATGAAAAAGGGGTTAGCTAGGCTGGAGAAACAGCCTGGTCAGTGGTGTCTCTGCGGCACAAGCAGGAGGCCCTGGGTTTGGATCCCCAGCATCCATGGCAAAGCTCAACATGATCATGTGCCTCTTCAGTCCCAGCTCACCAGAGTGGTGGTGGACATGGGTGCATTCTTGGAGCTCCCTGGCCACCTGGTCTAGTCAATTAGTGAGCACAGGGTTCATTGAGAGACCTTGTCTCCAAAAATAGGTCAGAGTGATTGAGAAAGACACCCACCAAGGACTCCTGGCATCTCCATGAATACACTGTGTTTGTAGACACCTGTGCATGTATACATGACACACATGCAAACACATGCACACAATAAAAAAAAAAGAGTTGGGGCTGGCTGTGTGCTTGCAATCCCAGCACAGAGAAGACAGATAAAGGAGGATCCCTGCGACTCACTGGGCTGCACAGAAAGATGGTATATATTAAAAGTTATTTTTAATTAGTTTTGAAAAATTAGTTAAGATAAATTTATTTTTCTCTTAAGGTGTTTTTTTGTTTCCATAAGCATACAGAAAAACAAATCTGTATGCTTAACATTTAAAAACTTGTTTCTGTGTATATAGTGAAGCTACCCACAGAAGATCATATCATGTGTATTTTGCTTTGGGTTTTTGTTCATATTTTTGAGACAGGGTCTCCTATAGTTTATGTTGTCCCCAGCTCTGCAGCTGAGGATGGTCTTGAACTCCTGAGCCTCATGCTTCCACCTTTTGAGTGCTGGGATTCCAGGTGGGCACCACCATGCCTGGCTTACAGTGTGTTTTGGAAACTTCCAAGGCTTTTTCTGGCTGCTGGACCCCAAATGTTTATTTGAGAATGTCCCTGAATCGCCAACCCACAAAGCAGGTGAGAGCTATGGTGCTCAGCTGCAGTCACCAGCATAGGCCCACTCACTCACCCTCGGCTGGCCCCGCAGTGACATTGGCCTGGAGCTCTGGCCCGTAGGCGATGGTCCGCGCTTGGACTCGGAAGAAGTAGGTCACTCCCTTGGTGAGGTCCCGCACCTTCAGCCACCGCTGCCAGTTCCCTTTTACATCCACAGTCACCACCTTGCTTACACCTGGAATGGCCACAGAAGCACAGGAAGAGGGGCCTGAGCTAGGAGAAGCAATTGAGCATGCCTGATCTGTGGCGATAAGGAGGAGGACAGCTCTGGCAGCTCAGGAAAGGAGCATTGCTTACAATTAGGAGGAGTTTAAACACCGGTCCCGGCCAATTTTCAGCCCAGATCCATGTAATTAGAGTTTAAGCTTGATAAGTGACTGTCCAAGAAACCACCAAGCCTGTGACAGTCACAAGGGGAGCGGCACAGGCCTCACTGAGGACAGTGGGGAGAGAGGGAAGTGCCCAAGAAGGATTCCCAGGCTGCATCCTGGAGACCAGCCCCTTCCCACACTGCCTCCAGATTCAGAGTCCTGCCTCACTTGCAGAGACTGACTGCACGCTCTGATTTAGTCAGTAGGGAGGGCAGGGTGTGGAAGGGGGCGGCTTTGGTTCAAAGGTGAGCTTCCCCCAGTGATGCGTCTGCAGCCTGACTTAGCTGACATGTGTGTGACTTGCAAGCCTCAAGCAACTTTTAGGAACATCACCCTCGGACTTTGGAGTGAGGATGATGTTAAATCCATGCCTCTGAGATGTTGTGGAATATTATTTTAACTAGGCAAAGATGTGTTACATTTGTTTATGCTGCATTTGTTTAACTATGTAAAGATGTGTTGCATTTGTTATACAATGCCTGCCTAAGGCACCTGATTGGTCTAATAAAGAGTTGAACAGCCAATAGCTAGGCAGGAGAGGGGGGATGGGCAGGGCTGCAGAGCAGAGAGACAGCTGCCAGTCAGCAGACATAACTAACAGTGAAAGGAAGATATACAGAAGGAAAGAAAAGTAAAAAGCCCGGAGACAAAGGGCAGATAAAGAGAAATAGGTTAATTTAAGTTAAAAGAGCTGGCCAGAAATGAGCCTAAGCTAGGCCAAGCATTCAAAACTAATAATAAGTCTCCATGTCATGAACTGGGAGCTGGTTGGTGGCCCGAAAGAAAAAGCCTGGTACACTGAGTATTGACCCTTAGTTCAGAGAATGAGAACCACATAAGACAACATTTCTACACAGAAATATATAAATGAACACATGACTGGAGTTCCCCTTGTTCATGGATATGTTTCAGGACTCTGATTATTTCCTGAGACTGAGGATGTATGTGTGGGTATATATAGACATATATACACATATACACACGCATGGCTTTTCCATAGAACCAGAGTTAACCTGTTTTTCATGTTACATTGTTAGTAATCTTTGTCTATTACATTGCTTCAACTATTAAGGCCTTACTAAGTAAAATAAGGCTGAGATAAATATGAGTATTGTGTAATAACAGTGACAATCCATCTGGTCTCCAAGAGAGCCAGAGTGACTAATGGGACAGCAAGATACACTGCGTGGAACTGAACAAAATTCAGGCTGAGTGGCTACTGAGTGACTAATGGGAGGGTAGTGTATACAGCATGGATAGTCTGGGAAACAATCTATCTTATAACTGAGATAGCTAATGGGAAGGTAACACATTAATCATGAATATGCTAAACAACAACTGATCTGGTGATTGAGACAGCCGCTGAGTAGCTAACAGGAGGGTAGCATATACAGCATTGATACTCTGAACAAAGAGGCAATTCACATCTTGGCCAAGATGCAGAAGGATGGAGGGAGATTTAGTGAAAGTGCTTGGGATTGTGTACACTTTAAAACTTATAAATGGTTTGGTTCCCTAATTTCATATTTTTGAATTGCAGTTGATTTCAGGTAAATGATACTACAGAAAATGAATCAAAGAATAATGAACAATTAGACTGTGGTATTTAACATTTGGTGGAAAGAATAAATACTGAAAATTATATAAACACACATTTCCTTGGAGGGCAAATGAGTTCTTTGCTTCTGTGGGTTTGAAAACCATGCAGTCTTTATTTTTTAAGCTAGCTAAGCTCTTGGCTGTGGGACTTCTCGCTCACTCTGCCAGTCACATCCAGTATGACAGGAGGAAGTAGTTATTCCAGGTCTTCCAGGTCAGCAGATGCATGTTCCTGGAGCACTGTGCAGAGGTGGACATGGGGGATGGTGTCTCCTGCTGAGCACCAATGCCCCCAGCCTGCCCTCGGTATGAAGGAACCGTAACGAAGTATGTTCTTTAATACCACATGGGCTTGTTTTACAGGAACCGAAGTACCATCCGATTCAAAGCTGATCCATTGTTCCAAGCCATCAGAGCATGGATCTGTAATCCCCAGGTCTCCAAAATGCCTCTTAGCTGGTTCATTACATTCATATTATGCCTTTAATACAAGTTCGTGTCAGCTGAATTATGGCCTTCTGAATTATTTCGGGGAGGTTTAAACAACTTCTCTTTCACCCTCCTCACTGGGGGGTTTTCTATAGAAAAATGTGGTCATTTCTGCCCAGGGAGCTGGACCCTACCATGATACATGCTACTCAAGAAAGAGGCGACGAGGATGATGGGTGGCACAGGGTGGCTGGCACTGCAAACAAGCTGGGTCCTCTCGTTGTAAGGTTGTTCTGCAGTGGCTCTGGAGCAGATACAAACCCATTTAGGGACTTCGTACATTTGATCCCGCCCAGAGGAAGAGCCATCCTGGCCTTTTCTCCATCTCAAGTGTGTCAGAATTTTATTTATTTAGTCAATTTTAAAACCATGCCCTGCTTTACGAAGCCTTGGAGGTACAATCTCATAAAACTACTACACTTTAAAACATATTCAAGAAACATAAAAATATCTCTGCCATAAAATCAGATTCCCCAAAACATGGCTCAGTGCTCAGAAGGCTTAGTGTTCCAGGGGGCCTGGTCTGTGGGGTGTGGTGCTGAGTCCTACAGTGTTGCAGTTGTGTGGATCTGCAGTGTGTGCTGTTTGGATAGCATGGTGCTCCCAGTAGTATGAGACTGTGGCGGCTGGTGCTCCTAGTGGTATGGCACTATGCTGGTGCAATGCCCCCAGCAGGGTGATTGCTCCCAATGTACCGATGTCTCTGGTTCTCCCAGCGGTTGGTTATTCCCAATGAAGCAGTGCTCCAGTTTGGTCATATTTCAAGTGGTGTTGTGCTCCTTCTGGCGTAGTGCTCCAGTGAAGTGCTCTTCCCAGTGGAGTAATTTCCCAGTCATGTGGCAAGTGGTGTGCTAGCATGCCTGTTATCCCCAGTGAGGTAAGGCTGCTCTCAGTGGGGTGATAATCCTAATGAAGTGGTGCTCCAGAGGAGTGATGGTCCCAGTGGGGTGATGCTCCCATGGGGTAGTGCTCCCGGTGGTTTTATCTTATATCCAGCTGAATGCTTGCTCCCCCCACTCCTGAGAGCAGCAGGCAAAATTCTCAGAGATGCATGAAAGCAGAGGGCAGAGAAGAGCAAAGACAAGCACTCAAAGACAAGCCCTGAGTGTCTGCCACTCAGCCAAGAGTGGTTCTCTTGGACGTTTGCAGTCCTAGGTCAGCAGGTGAAGAATTGGGAAAGCCTTAGTCCCAGGCAATGCTAGGTAAGACCATTGGTCTATTCATCCTCCTCACTGGGGGATTCTAGGCAGGGGCTCTACCACTGAGCCACACCCCACCCCTCACTGGGGGATTCTAGGCAGGGGCTCTACCACTGAGCCACACCCCCAGCCCCTCACTGGGGGATTCTAGGCAGGGGCTCTACCACTGAGCCACACCCCACCCCTCACTGGGGGATTCTAGGCAGGTGCTCTACCACTGAGCCACACCCTAGTCCCACACTGGGGGATTCTAGGCAGGAACTCTACCATTGAGCCACACCCCACCCCTCACTGGGGGATTCTAGGCAGGGGCTCTACCACTGAGCCACACCTCAGCCCCTCAATGGAGGATTCTAGGCAGGTGCTCTACCACTGAGCCACACCCCAGCCCCTCACTGGGGGATTCTAGGCAGGTGCTCTACCACTGAGCCACACCCTAACACAAAGTTTTGTTTTGAGACAGTGTCTCACGAGGTTGTCCAGGGCGGCCTTCCACTCTCTGTAGTCGTCCCATCAGGCCTTGCACTTGCGCTCTTGCCCCAGCCTCTGAGTGGCTGGGCGTACAGGCTTGCTTCGGCAGGCTCAGCTTTCCGGCTCTTCTGAGGTTGATAGTCTTCCCTGGAGTCAGTGAGATGAACTGGCAGCTCAGGGAGCAGCAAGGGTCCTGACTAGGTTATTGCTGTTGGGAAAGACACTGAGTCCCTGGAGCACCTGAGTTTCTGTGATGCCCCCAGGACCTTCCCCTCCTGCACCTCTCCGTAATCTATTCCATAGTCCAGTGGCTCAAAAAAGACCCTGTGGTACCTGAAGACCCTGATTTCAGGGGGAATCACTGAAACATCCAGGCTAGTCTGGGCCACACCCTGAATTCTAGGCCAACCTGGACTCTACAGTAAGGCTGTTTCCCAAAACCAAACAATTACCATCTGGCCTGGGGCTCGTTCCTTCTAGCCAGCCTCTGCTGGGCTGGCTTGGTTGATGCTGGCTCAGGTCTGTGTCTGCACCACACAGCAGGGATGGCTGAGGCAGGGTCCTGTCACCCTGACTGCCTGTTAATTAAGGCAAGGGAGGTGCTGGGTCACCCTGCAGGCCTGTTCAGGTGTGTGTGTGTGTGTGTGTGTGTGTGTGTGTGTGTGTGTGTGTGTGTGTGTGTGTGTGTGTGTATGGGGGGGGCAGTGCTCCAGTGTGTTTAGACATCTATTGATCTTTGCTTGCCTCATGATGGCGGAGCTTCTACTGGCCATGTGAGTCATGCAGCCACAACCAGAGTAAGCTGCCTAGGGGCATTGGTTCAGGTGGCGTAAGTGGTGAGAGCTTGTCCATGGTCACCTCACTCTTGCAGAGCCATTCATGGATCCTGTGGCTCAGTTGCTGCTGCTTACAGGCCACTCTGGCTGGGCTGTGTGCTTCTGGCCACCAGCTGGGAGGCTGAGCCTGGGATCAACCATGGCAGACATGCAGGAGGAGGTGGGGATGTGCCAGGTCACTGAAGGGTCCAATACAGAGCTACTGAGTGAGTCTGAGGCCAGCCTAGGGTAAGTTTGAGTCTAGCCTGGGCTGCACAGTAAATCCTGTCTCAGAACAAAAGCAAAATCAAGGATCTGGGCATCTGGATAACTTGCTCTTGGATTGGGTAGAAGCCTGGCTGTCTTTGACTTACAGAGCCAATAAGGGGCCATAAAGTCACAAGCCTGTCCTCCAGTCTCAGTTCTCACCACAGCGCAGACACCGCTGCCGCTGCTGCCGCCAGGAACGTTTGTGATGAGGGAGCCAGACCTCACAACACACAAAGAGGCGATGCCAGCAACGGAACATCTTGTCACTTAAGAAAAGAGGTGAAAATGGGTGCAACTGAAGTGGTTCCATGGGCTGTCACTCGGGCAGTGACGGGCACACACCCAGCTGCACAGCCAGTGCTCTGTCTGCAATATGAACTAATGGCACTCCATCTCCAGTGCTCACCTTCGCATGGCCTTCGGGAACACAAGCTCCCCAGTCCCCTCCTATCATAGGCTTCAGAGCTCCACACTTGCACTGAACTGCCTGGATTCAAGTCACACCCCTCCTTATCAGTCTAGCAGTCCAAGGGTGGATCCAATGAACGGAGGGCTCCTGGGGCCCATAGGTACCCCCATATATAAAGACACTTGCTGCCAAGCCTGGTGACCTGAGTTTGATCTCTGGGACTCACATGGTGGAAGAAGAGAATGGATGACTGACTGCAAGCTGCTTTCTGATTTTTACATGCATGCTGAATGAACCTCATGAGTGTGCACATGTGTGTGAGCACATACATACACACCATAAAAAATTTAAATGTAATTTAAAAAAGACGGGCTCTAAACCCAGCTCCTTTGTGTGTGCAGGTACATGTGTGGTAAGGGGAAATGAAAATGTGTGTGCACATGTATTCATGTGTGTGTGTGTGTGTGTGTGTGTGTGAGTCACAAGTCAGTGTTGAGTACCCTTCCTCTGGTGATGCCCATCATGATTTTTGGTACCTCCTACAGGTACTGAGGCTTTCAGCAGGCCAGGCTGGTTGGCAAGTGAGTCTCAGGGATCCCCCTGTCTCTTCCTCCCCAGGGCTGGGATAATAAATATGTGTCACCATATCCTTCTTCTCTTTATGTAGGTGCTAGGGATCAAACTCAGATCCTCATGCAAGGCAAGTACTTTACTGACTGAGCCACCTCCCCAGCCTCCTAAATGCAGTTTCTTTTCAAAATGTATACTGAGGCTACAGTCCAGCATGGGGACATGGATGTGGGGATGATGGATGGCAGGTGAGTAGTGAATGAAAAAAAGAAATAAAGAGGAAGGACATGACTGCTCCTAGGAACGGTGGAGGAGAGTTTATTATAGATAAAAGAGAGAGCATAGCCGGAGGCAGGGACATCTGGGAGAGTCCAGAGTGGACATGACCCTGAGCCATGTGAGAGGAGGGGAGAGGGGGTAAAGGGTCAACCAAGTAACCAAAGTGGCTGGATTATATATGGAAGGGGAGGCCAGCTCACTACCTGGGCTGGAGATGTTTAGGGTAGGGGGTGGGTCATGCCAGCCAGGAGGACCCTGTATCAGGTAGGGACTGAGGGATGAGGGGGAACCTGGCAGCCAGCATCTGCTTTGATATGTTAAATAGGCACCTCAGCTGTTTGTCTCCAGTTTGAAACCTAACAAGCAGCACTGCGCAGGTACACCATAAGTCAGTGGTTCTCAACCTTCCTAATGCTGCGACCCTTTACTACAGGTCCTGATGCTGTGGTGACACCAACCATAACATTATTTTCATTGCTATGTCATAACTGTAGTTTCGCTACTGTTAGAAATCGTGACGTAAATATCTGTATTTTCCAGTCTGAGACTACTCCTGTGAAAGGGTTGTTCAACCCCCACAGGGGTCTCACCCCACAACTTGAGAACCACTGCAGTAAGTACCCGTCACCGAGATGAGGCCAGATGGGATCACGTCTCAAGGGATCGAATATGACAAAATACTTTATCATGAAAGATGAACAAGTACCCCCAGCCCTTGCAATATAGGGAATCCAGACACAGGGGGCTAGCTGGCTGGGGGGAGAGGCCATGGGATTTTTGCAGAAAGCCAAAACTCAGCGGGGGAAGTACAGAGAGAGGGAACCACAAAAGTCAGCAGGTTTCCTGTGTGTGGCATGGATCCCACTGAGGAATGACAGTCTTTGGAGGGCAGGTACTAGAGTCTGCTAAGAGCAGCAGTCCTGGGCTCCCAGGGTGTGTGCCACAGGATTGTTGGAGATGCAGGCAGCCATTAACACGGGGCACAGGACATGGCAGAGTCAGGTGCCTGTTTGAGGATGAAGGAGACACTCAAGCTAGCTCTGATTACGAAGGGCACACGGGTCAATTAGAGGCACGATTCTGACAGTCAATTCTCATTTGAATGGCTCCAGTTGTTTGCCGCCCTTGAAAAGATGCTTGTGACGTGTGTATGTGTGTGTGTGAGAGGTGGGGGGGGGGGAGGGCTGGGGCAGGGGAAAGGTCCCCTACTGAACAGATAGGAAGGCTTTTGGAAAGTCTTCAGTCACCTCTCTGCTGACCATGCAGGAACAGCGGGCATGTCTTTTGGAACTCTGTCCTGAAACTCTGTCCTGAGATATTGAAGCAAGCCCCCTGCTCCTGGACGGGCTGCCCACTGTGGCAAGAATGCCACCCAGCTGGAGCCCAGCAGTCACTGACCTCCCACCCCCCAGTGCCATCTTGAATTCTTAGAACTCCACCAACAGATCTTCCCCACAGCTGTGCAGGAAGCCCAGACACCCTTGGCTTTTCTTTCTCACTTCCCTGGCTCTGATTTGGGATGTGGCTCAGAATTGATGGTGTGAAAGCCTGAGGCCATAGTTTATGGTGAACATTCTGTCTTTCTTAGAGTGTCATAAAATAACGGCAAATCTTCTTGTCAAAGGCATCGGAGATTCAATGCAATAAAATCAAGTGTTTGAATGTTCTCTTTCAAATCAACTTCCTGTTCCACGTGACCGCTTATTTCAAAAGGAAACTGACCACGGCTTTAAACGGAGAGCCATTATTATTATCTGGCCAGCTGCTGATGTATTGTTTCCTCCTAGATGTTAAAGAATCTCTAGGTTTTCCCATCTATCTGTGCATATGACCAGGAGGGACATCCAGACGTGGGCCATCATGCAAAGGTAGCTGGACCTGTCTTGGGGCATGCAGTGGGGTGAGAAAGAAAGGTGACAAAGCTCTCAGTGGACGCAGGAACAACAAGTTGTGAGGCTTGGTCTGTTTGAGGGGCCCCGGCAGTGGGATCATCTATCACTGGTGCATGAGCTGGCTTTCTGGAGCCCATTACCTATGCATGGACGCCTTGATACAGCGGGGAGGGGCTTGGTCCTGCCTCAACTGAATGCACCAGGCTTTGCTGACTCCCCATGAGAGGACTTACTCTTTTGGAGGAGGGGAAGGAGGTTGGTCAGTGGCGGGGAAAGGCAGGGGAGAGCGGGAAGAGGGATGAAAGGAGTATCTGTGGTTGGTGTGTAAAGAAATTAAACACAGCCATAGACGGAACACCCAGAGGCAGGGCTGACAATCAGGTCCCTAGTGTGTGACCAGGAACTCTACTGGTCCTTTGAAGCCACATCCTTAATCTGCCACTTCCTCCTGTCCCAGCACATTGCTTCCTCCAAGCCCTCCAGGCAGAATGCTAGACAGAATCTCTGCTGCTGTCTTCTCCCAGTTACTGCGGGGTCCCTGGATTTGCTTTCCCAAAGCATCTGTGGTCCATTCCATGATCCATCTATCATTTATCTGCCAAAACATTCTTGGGAGAGCAATGGCCTGCTTTTCAACCTGTTGTCTTAGTAAGGTTTTTATTGATGTGAAGAGACACCATGACCACAGAAGCTCTTGGTGTGGTAGTTTGAATGTATTTGCCCCCCACAAAGCTCATAGGGAGTGGCAATATTAGGTGTGGCCTTGTTAGAGGAGGCTGGATGACAGCTGCCTTTAATCCAGGCATTGAGGCTAGAGGGCACACCTTTAACCTGGGTCACACCTTCTAAAGGAAGTGTGTCATTGTGGGGGAGGGCCTTGAGGTTTCATATACTCAGGATACAGCCCAGTGTGTCAGTTGATCTCCTGTTGTCTACAGTATGTAGCAGTCTCAGCTCTAACATCACCTCAGTCTACATGCCACCATGCTCCCCGCCATGATGGACTGAATCTTTGAACTTTAAGCAAGCCACCACAATTAAATGTTTCTTTTATAAGAGCATGGTGACATGCAGGCAGGCATAGTACTGGAGTAATAGCTGAGTATCCTACATCTTGCAGGTAAGTGACTCACACCGAGTGAAGCTTGAGAAAAAGACCTCAAAGCCCAACACCTCCCCACCCCCAGTGACACGCTTCCAACAGAAGATGTGACCCAGATTAAAGGTGTGTCCCCCAGCCTCAAGGTTTCAGAGTCAGCACCAGGGTTGAGCATAGCGACACACCTAGAGTTTTCACATGGCTTCTGAGGGTCCATTCAGGCCCTCATGCTCGCAGTGCAAGTACTAGCGGCTACGCCACCTCCCCAGCCCCTCTCTGTGTACCCCGGAGTAGAGCCCACTACGGCCCCCAGGCCTTACCTTGCACGGGTGCTAAGGGCTCATACACCACTCGATAGCCCTGTAGGATGCCGTTGGCTGCCGATGGCTCCCCCCAGGACACGTTGAGGGTGGTGGAGGTTATTTCTGAGAAGGCCAAGAAGCTGGGGGGCCCGGGAGCTGGGAAAATAGAGCACAGGGGTGCAGAGTGAAGACTAGTGGCTTTATGGATCATCCACACATGGCCATGGCCATGTCTCCCTGCGGGACAGGCGGTGCTTCTAGGTGTTATCGAATGCTGTGGAAGTCCATGGTAAATGGTGCAAGAGGAACAGGAGGCACACTGAACAGCTTCCAGCTTGTTGGCATCAACAAGAAGCACGGGCCTTCCCAGAAGATCATGGAGGGCGATGCAGCTGATCCACAAAGGAGCGGCAAGGTGAAAGGACAAAGGCCAGAATGACTGACAGAGGGAGCAGAAGATAAAATGTGGGCAGCTCCAGAGGCTGTGGGAAGATGCCGGGTCCTGCCCTTCGGGAAAGAGGAAGCACTTTCTCCCTTCCTTTTCTTTTCCCACACCCCCTCCTTCCTCTCCACAACTCTGTGCTCCCCTTTGTGGCTTTTCTCCTCTTTTCTCCCCAAGCCTCCCCTCCCCCAACTCACCTTTCTTGTCCCTTCCTTCCTTCCCTTCCCCCACTTCACTTTTCTCTTCCCTCATTTTTTCTCCTTTCTGTATTTCACCTTTCCCCTCCTTTCCTCTCCTCTCCCCCATTTCACCTTTTGGGTAGTGGTGGTGGGTGGTAGTGTGTGGTGGCCATCATGGTTGTAAGTGGTGGTGGGTCATGAGGTTGGTGGGTAGTGGTGGGTGGTGCTGGTGGCTGCCACCCCAATCCTTCCTCTTGAAATCCCATTGACACCCTGTGTTTACAGAGAGCTGTTTGGCTCAGACAGGTGGAAGCCTGACCAACCAATCCATCAAGGCTGCTGGCAGGTATGGCTGCCCTGGGGTGCAGCCATGTGGGGCCTGTTCACTTACCTGGGCCATGCAGGAGAACATGGGTAGGGGCCATCCTCACCTGACATCCCAGTAGGCTTCTGGTCACCTCTGGGTGCCTAACTGCAGCCATGTCCAACCTCCCCTTGCTATACCTCAAATCCCATGATCTACTGGGCACTGGTGCCTAAAAATGGCTCAGCCATTGCTCTTTGCCCTACAAATCTACTCATGTGCTACAGCCCCAATCCCCTAACTGCAAAACAGAAGAACTGATCCTTCGGTGCTGGACACAGTGGCAGGGAAACAGTCATGGCTCCCTGCTCATAGTCACCAACAGGAGGTAACACCAAGAACCCTGACCAAGGAAGGGTCAGCTGGGTAGGTGGGTGTCTGTCGCCTGAGACCATGGGATGTTGTAGAGTAGAGTTTTAGAGGCCCTACAAGTTTACTCAACAGGCTCCAAGGCTTCACTATTCTGCCTTGGACTTTCTGGATTTTTTTCTTTCTTTCTGAGACAGGATTTCTCACACTGGCTGTCTTGGAAGTTGCTCTGTAGACCAGGTTGGCTTTGAACTCACAGAGATCCACATGACTCTGCCTACTGAGTGCTGGGACTAATGGTGTGCACCACTGCCATCCCACTGACCTCCTGGCTCTTAACACAGGGCCTCTGGAAGTCCAGGGCCTTAGGCCAGACTGCCATTTTCTGGCATACCACTGCTCTTCAGGCTACTAGGAATTGAGATGAGTAGGGGGAGGGGTGGCCTGCTGCAGATAGAGGCTGTGCCCTGTGTGTGGACCGCCTTAGCTGGGCAGCGCTGTCAGCACAGCCCATGTTGTGGTTTAGATGGGAAATGTCCCCCTCCTCCAGGCTTACGTGCTTGGACTCTCATCTCAGCAGATGGCACTGCTTGGGGAGGTTGTAGACCTTAAAGAGGCGGAGCTTCAGTGGAGGAAGCAGGTCACTGGGGGCGGGCCTTGAGGCTTTGTAGCCTGGCCCTACTTCCTGTTCACTTTCTGCTTCCCGACTGCCTGTGCAAAGTGACCAGGGCCTCAATTTCATTCTCCTGTCACCATATGTCCCCCTTGGAACAAACCCTCCCTCAGCCCTTCGGCTGCTTTGGTTGGGGTATTTTATCATAGCAGGAAAAGTAAATCAAACCTGTAAGGGGAGGCAGGTGCTTGAGCGGCAGCTGCTGAGCTGTTCCAGGCATGGTCTAGGGATCTTGACTGGGGGTGGTAGTGGGTAGCCTGAACCTAGATTTGGGCCCTGGCCTCCACACACAAGGAACTCAGTTCCTAGAGACCAAGATGCATGTGGGGCAGCTCTGAGAGAAAACGCTAGAAGGAGCTCTGTGGGTCAGGAAGGGAGCCAAGCCATAGACAAGGCCCTTCTCCTTCCAGTGACTTTGAAGGCTTATGAGAAAATACACAGCTCCAACCTAGCCAAACTACCTTAGCAGAGGCACGAGGGACCAATAAGTCAGCCCTGTACTTCCTCTCCAAACTCCAAATGTGCACTCTTTCCTTCCTTCTTTTTTCATTTGTCTATCTATCTATCTATCTGTCTGTCTGTCTGTCTATCCGTCTATCTATCTTTGGAACAATGTCTCATGTATCTCAGGATGACTTGGAACTCGATATGTCACTAAGGAGGACTGAACTGCCTCCATCTCCCAGGTGCTTGGATTCCAAACATGCACCACAATGCTGATTTAGATTCTGAGGTGCTGGGATGGAACCCAGGGCTTCGTGTGAGCACTCCACCAAATGAGCTATACCTCTGGCTCTTGAGCTGGACCCTTGATGCTATGACAGGGCAGACAGGGTGACCTACCGGCTTGATGGGTGCGTCCCTGACGTGGGTCACTCTTGGGCCCGTCACCCGCAGCATTGAAGGCGGAGATGCTGACCAGGTATTTGGTGTGGCTGGTGAGATTCTTGATTTTCACCACTGGCTCCGGGAGGAAGAGGACCTTCATTTTCTCAGTCTCGTTGCGGCTGTCTGCCTCCCAGTAGTAAATCTGTTGGGCAGGGGGCATAGGACACTCTTGGATTATACCAGGCTTTAGTATGAAAACAGTGATCCTGGGGATCAGGCTAGTATGGTGATCGAGGCCTAGAGTGCTCAGAACAGGATTCTGCCCTGTTATCTAGACTTGGAGCATCATCTCCTTAAACTGCTCAGGGTGGGATCTGAAGACGGGCCAATATTGCCTAATGGGCCTCTGTTGTGGTTAATGTAGCAAAAACACTTTGGGAATGAAAAACACCAAAAACCACAGGAAGGAGATGGGGGAGATGGATCAGTCAGTGTTTGCTGCACACGCACGCACGAGGACATGAGCTCGATCCCCAGCACCCGTGTTAAAAACAAAGCCATGCATGGGGATGCACGCTTCTAATCCCAGCTCTGCGGGTGGAGACAGGCAGATTCCAGGGCTCAGCCTAGATTACAGGCCATCAAGACAGTGATAGTGGAGAGATGGCTTAACAATTAAGGGTACGTTCTGCCCTTCCAGAAGATCTGAGGTCAGGTCCCAGCACCCATAGCTGGCAGCTCACAACTGGTCCTGGAGTTCTGATGCCCTTTTCTGGCCTCCATGGGCACCTGCACTGATGAATACATACCCAGACACAATTTAAGAATAAATTTTTTAAAAGGTAGAGGAGGGAGCCTAAAACACAATAGCTTGGTTGTGCCCTCACCTCCAAACACATGTGCATACACACATGTGCACATGTCTATGCATACTCCTAAACTGGGACTGGGGAGGAGCACCTTGCCTTCCTTAGGTACCATTCTTCTCATCTAGCTTTGCTACATTTACAGGTAGATCTGAGGTCCAAGCACCAAGGTTTGACTGATTAGCAAATCCATTTTCCTAAACAGCTGTCTGGCAACCACTGCCCCCAGCCTGTGCCAGCTGGGCTCCCAAAGACAACACTGGCTGGAAGATGCCCCTTGGCTCTGTGTACATGGGCCTGTGCCAGGCCACAAGAGCAGTGTGCCCTCTGTGAGAGCAGGGCAGACACTGCAGGAGGCAGCCAGGATACCCAGCCTCACAGGTCATACCTGTGGTGGAGCCCGTCCGACACGTGAGCCTGCTGATTTCCACCCACAACCCCCAGCTGCATGCCTGATGGCAGAGCCGACTGCAGGAAAGCCTCTGCTCAGACAGGCCATGCTAACTTGTGATCAATATCCAAGTTCAATGTCTTTATCATTAGGGAAATGAGAAAACATATTTTTGGATGTGCATAAATAGTGCCTTGCCTCGGAGCTCAGGGGACTTTCTGTGACCTCATTCATCTTCGTAAGAGCCTGGCCGGCAGGGAGGTATTCATTTTTATAACACACCTACCAAAATCATTTTAAAATGGACATTTAATTGGGCCAATATTCATCAGGGCAGCATGGCTCTGAGATTCTGATAACTGAGCAAGTAGGGCTCATGGAGGCCAGACAAGAAAATTACTTCTGGAAGAATGGAGATGCCAGATGGGGGGGTGGTGGTGATGTTTAGAGCTCCTGGGTGCCCATGGCAGGGGAGAGTACAGGGAGGAGGGCAGGGGAGAAGCTGCCCACAGGAGTTATTCCCCCGATGCTGGCTGGCAAGGTGAGCAGTCTTCCCTTCCTTTCACCGTTAGAGCTTTGGGCTCATGAAGCCTCACTGGCTCTTGTAGTGAGCCTGACTCAAAGTGAGGTTTGCAGATGTCACACCGTGTGGGGACTGCTGGAGCTCAGGACATGGTCCAGCTGTGCAGGTCTGAGGACCTGGGTGCTATCCCGGAACCCATGTTAAAAAAAAAAAAAAAAAAAAAAAAAAAAAAAAAAAAGAGCCAGGCACAGTAGCACCTGCCTGTAACTCTGCTGCTGGGGAGACAGAAGCAGGGGGATCCCCGAGGCTTCTCAGCCAGCCTGCCTAATCTAACAGGTGAGTTCCCTGCCAAGGAGAAACCTTGTCTTCCTCCCACCAAAAAAAAAAAAAAAAAAAAAAAAAATGTTGGCAGTGCTTGAGGTCTAAAGAACAGCATAGTCAAAGTGACCTTCTGGACACACACACAGAAACATGTTCAGACACATGCATGCACACATACAACACACACACATACACACTGACACAGAAACACACACGCACACAAGCATGCACAGACACACAGATACAAACAGATACACACAGACAGACACACACATGCAGATGCACATGCACAGAGAGAGAGACACACACAGAGACACATAAACACAGACAGACACATGTATATGAACATGCATACACACAGACACACAGACGTAGACAGACAGACAGACAGAAACACACAGGTTCTCTGGCTCTACTCCACATGGAAATGAGAGATTCTCTCAATGTGCAGTGGACAGTGTTGGGACTTGGAACCCACTTTTGTGAGGATACCCCACTTTGGTTATAATCAGCAAATGCCCTGGGAGGCCGTGTTGTGGGCACAGGAAGAGGTCACGTTCCTTGGTGGTCCTAGGTACTTTTGGAGGAGCCAAGTGTGCTTTGTGGTGGGCACACAGCAGCCACATGGGAAGCCGCTTCCACGTGGCTTTTATCCCAGGTGGTGCTCCCACCAAGCCTGCTCCAGGCACACAGGGCCTACTTGGAAGCTGTGCATCTGCTGCCGGGCACACGGCAGTTCTACAGTATAACCAGTGTGCAGCCAAACCCTTCGGGGCCCTGGGCACACAGTGAGCTGGAAGAAAGAGCCCAGTCATGCATGAGATCTTGCCTTGTAGCCCTGGATGTTCCCATTCTGGCTCTCTGGGGGTGGTGGGTCCCATGTGACCTCCAGCTGGCTGGCCGTGAGGGGGGTCACCTGGACGTTCTGTGGGGCCATCGCTGGGGCTGAGGAAAGAAACAGGAGAATAACTGGGGTGGACTCCCATATGCTGGCAGAGACCCACCAACCCATGTCTCCAGGCTCGCACAGGACATAATTCTGTGATAGACAACATGGGAAACTGTGCCCTGGACACCCAAGTTTGGGAGGCCACAGGTGTAATCCTATTCCGGGCTTCAGGCTCTGTATCCCATGCAATTCTTAGTCCTTTGATGCCAGGGAAGCCCTCCCAGAGGAACCTTCTTATAAATGCATAAAACAGACTACACAGAGTCACAAAGAACATGGGCTCTGCTGAGAGACAGTTCGTGAGTGTTGGGAGACACACACTATCTAGACACCCATATGGCATGGGCTGGCAGATCACCCACTGGGAGAGAAAACAGTGAGACATGGAAGCCAACTGGAGGTCCCAGAAGCACCTGGGGCATGGCAGGGAACTATGAGGCTCTGTGGGTGTGGGAGCCACAGGTAGCAAGACATCGCTGACTGGGGCAGGAACACTATGCTTCCAGTGGAAGACATAGAACACAATGACAGCTCCCTTGCCATGGCAAGTTCAGGTGCCTCTATTAGGATGCCTGCTTCCAGAAACCTATCTAGAGACACAGCTGCCCGTCCATGTGCATGGGGGTTCTGGTGTCTGGGAACATGGCTGTATGTAGTACCAAGATAAACTCTGACCACAAGTTCTGAATATGAGGCTGTTCCTCTTCCTCCCTCCTACCAGGGGTGGTCTGTCCTCTCACAGGTACAATATACAAGCCAAAGATGTGGTGACCAGAAGGGCAGTGGGCTGCCCACTCTGTCCCTCACAGCCATTGGGGGATGAAGAGCAGGGCAGAGAGCAGGAGCCACACTCTGGACCGCTTCATCCTCTCTCCATCATGGTTCTGAATTCCATATGGGGAACTTTCTCATGGTAGGCTGTCCATTGCCTCTCAGGAGATAGTCCTGTCTCCCACTGAGTGTTCCTCATAGGAAATCTGGCCTCTGGTTGGACTCTAGAGTTGCATGGAGTTATCTTGAGGAACTAGATAACTCCTGGGAGGCAGAGGCTAGCCCCACCCAGCCCTACCTCACCTCATTCAGCCTCGGCTTGTGGGCTGACTGCCCTTTTTCACTTTCTGTGTATGTTTGTGTGTGTATGTGTGTGTGCGTGTGCGTGTGCATGCATGTATGTGGTATGTATATGTTCATGTGTATGCACATGTGTGCAGGCATGTGTATGTATATGTGTTTGTATGTGTGCAGGTGTATGTGAAACCAGTGGTCAATGTTGATATCTTCACTAATCACTCTCCATCTTTGTGTGTGTGTGTGTGTGTGTGTGTGTGTGTGTGTGTGTGTATGAGTGCACACATGGAGGCCAGGTGTTTTCCATGCTCACACTCTCCACCTTATTTTTTGAGGCAGGGTCTCTCAATGAGCCTGGAGCTAAGTGATTCACTAAGCCAGCCAGCTCTAGGGAATCCACCTGTCTCCTCCCCCATCTCTGGGAACACAGAGGCTTTTAGGTACCAGGAATCCAAACTCAGGTCCTCAAGCTGTGTGAGCATAGCTTAGTGACTGAGCCATCTCCACAGACCCTGCTGGCTGCCTTTTGATTTGAGTCTGTCTAGAGGCCATCAGTGGAAGCCACAAAGCCATCACAGCCTGAGGAAATTTTTCTTGCATGGGGCTCATTTGTAGCTATAGGGTGACCTGGTGAGCAGTAGGTCACCCCTTGCTCGCAGCTCCCTCCCCTGCTTCCTGCTCTCTCCCCCACCCATGCAGAATAAAATAGTAATTAACACCCGCTCAGCCTGACATGACTATTTATTTTGTTCTAACTGTGTGCTTCTGTATTATCGCTGCCCACCCTGCCGCTAATGGAAATGTTAATAGCCCACACCAGGTTGTTGTGACAGATGCTGGGTCTCATTATCAGAAATTCTTATTTACCGCTCCATTAAACAACAGAATCACACAAAAAAACAATTCAATCAAAACTAACTGGAGGAATTTTAACAGCCGCATTAATAATCCAAAACATAAATAAAGTTAATGTCTTCTGCATGTTCGCCGTCGGCAACTCGATCACAAAATTACTGTTGTACAATTAAAATCATGAAAGGCAGGATTGAGCATGGTCGTTACTCTGGTAGGCTGGTGCACAGATCCCTCCTCGGCACCCCCAAGGTTGGCTTTCCGTAGACTTGGTAGGAAGCGAAGCCAGGACGGCCCTGGCCATGACAGTCCATCTGTGGCGGGTGGCCGGGTGAGCCACACACTCTGTGTGAGCCCCAGCACTCAGGGTCTCCAGTGCCTTTGGGCTGAGTGCAAAGACACTGGATGACGCTCTGAGATGAGACACGCCTGTGTCGGCTCTACTGCAGCCTGCTGTTTAATGCCACAAAGATACGGCAGGTAACAGGATGTTGTTGGCACATGCAGGGAGGAAACAGATGAAAACATGGTATAGTCCAGGATTCAATGTGGGTTTTTTTTGCGGGGGGGGCAGCGGGCTTCCGAGCGCTTCAGGGCTTCCAGACTGCCTGGAGAATTTAGCCATTTGGACGGCCTGTCGTTCTCCATCCAGAAAGCAAGCCTCATCCAAGTAAAGTGTGTGCAGCTGGGGAGCTGAAGGAAGGACACGTTAGCCTCTGATTGTTCCCCAGTCTTGACACACATGGCATAAGATGCACACAAGTAAACGTCAGCGTGTGTGTGTGTGTGTGTGTGTGTGTGTGTGTGTGTGTGTGTGTGTACATGTGAGTATGCCTGCACATATGTGTGTAAGAGAAGAGCCAGGGGTCAGGCCTCTTTGCCAGCTTCTCTCTCCCTTATTTTTTTGAGACTGGGTCTCATTGGTGGTTTGAAAGAGAACAGCCTCCACAGGCTCACAGGGAGTGGCATTAATAGGAAGTGTGGCCTTACTGGAGTAGGTGTGGCTTTGTTGGAGGAAGTGTGTCACTGGGGGTGGGCTTTGAATTTTCAGAAGCTCAAGCCAGGCAAGGGGTTCATGGTCTCTCCCTGCTGCCTGCCCATCCGGATGTAGAACTCTCAGCTACCTTTCCAGCACCATGTCTGCCTGTACACTGACATGCTTCCCTCCATGATGATAATGGACTAAACCTCTGAAACTGTGACTCAGCTCCAATTAAATGTCTTCCTTTATAAGAGTTGCTCTGGTCACGATGTCTCCTCAGAGCAATAGAAACCTGGACTAGGACAGTCTCTCACTGAACCTGGAGCTCACTGACCGGCTAGGCTGGCTCAGCAGTGGGATCCAGGGATCCTTCTAGCTGAGCCCCTATACTTACAGATATACCTTAGAACACCCGACTCTTATGTGGGTGCTGGGGACAGAGCTCAGGCCCTCTTCTTTTATGGCAGGTGATTTACCAGCTGAGCCATCTCCCCAGCCCTGGCACATTTTTTGAATGCATGAAATTGTTTTCTTAAGGCATTTTGAGTGGCGGTTTTCTCCAGCATCGGCTGAGTAGATGCCCATGAGCAGCATCACATATAAAATAGGAAGGTCATGGTCATGGCTCAGGTTGGCTCTACATGCCTGTGCAGCAGCTGTCAACATCTGTATAGATTGACTGGCAGAGTCACTACATCACCCTTGCCATGGTGGTACATGGCTTCAGAGACAGATCTCCTCAGGCTATTGATGAAGAACCCAGGAACTTCTGGGACACTCTGCCTCTGACAATCATAAAACCCCCAAACAAAACAATAATCACAAAAATCAGCCACATGCTTGAAACCCCAGTGCTGGGGAGGCAGAGACGGGAGGACTCCCCTGGGGTTCACCAGCCAGCCTAATTTCTGAGTTCACAGTATAAGTGAAAGACTGCCTAAAACCCAAGAAGGAAGCTGACATCTGACATCTGAGTCTGCCACTGTCCTACACACACCTATGTGCACGTGCACTTGCAATGTACCTGAACACACAGGAACACATGTATACATAGGAACACATGTGTACACACACTCACACATGTGCACACAAAATCATAGCCATTTGTGTACAAGAGCTATTCTCAGCTCAGATTCCATTTTGTTTGCTGGTGAATGAATGGTGCTGGCTTGTTGCCCTTAACTCCATGCTTTGGTGGATCCAGGGTGAGCCTGCACCACGATAGGCCCCACACCGCCGCCCTGGATTTAAGGACCTCAGAGCTTAGGAATGTTGTCATGGCAAACACACAGGAAATGCAAGCTGAGTGCTGCTGACAGCTTCTGGAAGGTGTTGGGCCGAGGAAGGAAGAGGATGGGTGGTCTAGTTGGCGTTCTGCTGCTGTGGTAAGCACAATGACCAAAAGGAATGGGTTCCTTTCCTCTTCTAGTCCATCACTGAGGGAAGCAAAGGAGGGAACTGAAGAAGAGGTCAGGGAGGAACGTCGCTTCCTAGCTCATGTTCAAATAGCTTTCTCACACCACTGAGGCCCACCCTGAGGTGGCACTGCCACAGCAGTCATGGAAATGCCCCACAGGTGTGCCTGTAGGACTCTCTGGTGGAGGCGATTTTCCAGTTGACATCCCTTATTCTGGTTTTTGTAAGGTGTCAATAAAAACTAACATCTACAGGTGGCTTCCCTCAGTCTTTGGCAAGGCAGAGGAGCCTCCAGAGAGCCAAGGAACCTCCCAGAGCCCTGGAATGAATCCTGTAGGGGATGGATATTCATCCTCTCAGCTCTGAGAGCTCTCAGACAAAACGTCTACTGTGTGTGGAGGTCATCCATCCACCCAACCTGCAGAATACCTATGATGGTTAGCATGGACCATCAACTTGACAGGATTGAGAAGAACTTAGGAGATGAGACCGGGCATGTCCATGAGGGATTATCTAAACTCATTTAGTTGAGGAGGGAAGACCCTCTTTGAATGTGAGAAGCACCAGCCATCCCACAGGCTGGGATCCTGGACTGAATAAGAAGAAAAAAGTGAGCTGAGCATCAGCATCCATCTCTCTCTGCTTCCTAACTGTGAATGCCATGTGACCAGAAGCCTC